GCAAAAAAAATATCCAAGTCATGCCCCAAATTAAAAAAAAAAAAAAAAAAAAAAAAAAGGTGTGATTTTTGTCTTTTAACTTCAATTCACAAACTTGAGTCTAGATGTTTCATTTCCTGATGGAATATATTTGCCTCTTGGAAAACTAAAATTTCAGACTTTTATCTTTTTCAAGCCAGGATTGACACTTACAGGACAAACTCTAAAAAAAAAAATTGCAGCTAAAAAAATTGGTCATAGCAACAGATACTTTGTGAAGTATATTGGAATAGGTACTTGTATGGTTATGTTTTATGACCTTGTTGGTGCTTCCAGAATAAACATTTAGGAAAACACAAAAGACCTGCCTGCATAGAACTGAGGGGGAAAAAAATGCAGTTTGAGAGTTTTTAATGTGTGTTTTGTAAGCGTTTGGCTCCACAAAACCCATGTGGCTTTCCAGCAGAATCTGCTGCAGTGATTTCTAAGTCTATACTGAAAGCTGTCCAATAAATCTGAAAATTCCAACAGCTTTTTAGATGAAAGGTGAGTTCCCATATCTGAGTGTAAGGTCTGAGTTTCCTTATTCCTGTGGCTTAACCCAGTTGTGTCTCTGAGTCAGTACATGTCACAGAAATGAGTGCAAGGGACTTCTAAGTGTTGTTACAATTATTTCTGATTTTTCTGAAAGGGAGGATCCAATAAACCAATGGAAAATAAGAAAAAGAGCAACAAAGGAAAAAAAAAGCCAAAAACCAACCCCTTAATATTTCACCATGTGATCATCAGCAGAGGAGAAATTGCTGACTATGAATGACCTGAGGAGCATTTATTTGCTCAGTCTTTCATTAAACAAAGCAGAAAAGACCATACCAACACTCTTGATTTCCAGCATTGCAACAATAAAGACAGTGGAAATGAATAAATTTCCTGTTGATTTTTTGTTGGTGTTTTTTGTTGTTGTTGTTGTTTTTGGGGGGTTTTTTTTTGAGGGTTCCTTTATAGTTTCATCAACAATGTAATAAAAAAAGAAGATTCAGTATTAAATCCCTCAGGCAACGTGTGCACGTAATAGTTTTTATTTCTAAAAGACTTAGAAAACTTTTAGAACTCATTAATAAGGGGTGATTCTTTCTCTCTGTTTCAGTCTCTCCCATGCCTGGTGAGCTGTTCTGGTTAATGTTCTTTTCTACAGCTAATGAGGCCAAAATGCCATTGAAAATGTGGAAATTTTGTCATCTGCTCTTCCTCTCCATTGTCAGGGCCATCAGAAAGTGATTCAGTCTTGTTTATAAACAAGCAGGAGCTCTTGGTGCTCCCAGAAATAATTATGGGTTTGAGGCATTGCAAACATGGAGATTTTACCTCTGGTGTGTCTGAGTCCCCTCTGGATTGTTAAGAGATGAAGCCTCACCCCCAAGTTATTTTTCTGGGTTTAGCTGAGAGTGAGAAACTTAAAATAACAGCAACAGTTGTGAGGAAAAACCCTCCAAGGGTTTCCTGGGTTTAATACATGAAATTTATTGTCATGGCTGCTGTTGTTATCATCATGGCCATCATCATCATCCTCATCACCATAGAGGAATCAGAGCAACACATTTTGTATGTTCTTTTGTAAATTAGGTGTTCCCAAAACATTGATTAGCTAATTGCACAAGTTTTACTAATGAAACCTGACTATGCTGCAGTATTCTAGATCCACAGAAAATTAATGCATCCTCAGTACTTCAGGCGTGTGCTTAATTATGTGAGCAAGATTACTGGTTTTATGACTGAACATTTATTTATTTTATGACTTAAATTTATTTTCTGAGTAGTAAATAAATTAATCAACTCACCAAATGATTGAATAGCAGTGTAACAACAAACATTCTGCTCTTGCATTTTAACTTGGTGTAGTTATGGTTTGTAAACATGCTTTAGTTTGAAAAAAGCAATTTCCTTCCTCTGGAAACAGGTTATTCAGATTTTTTTTCCTCAGAGCTGGTCAGAGGTTGGGGGTGGTTCTGTGTCTCATCATTCTTCTTCTGTTTCAGGGGTCCTGGGGGTGGTAGACCTTGGCCAAACCCAACCAATGCCAATTCTGTAAGTAACTATTACACATGTATTTGACATTTTCTTGTATTTAGGGAAGTATCTCCATGCTAGGCCCAGCACTGCCGTAACATAAAGATTGTGCAGGGATCCTACATGAACACCAGTGTCTGCTATTTGTCCACAAGGCAGAGAATATTCATTTTCATTCCAGGATCATATATCATTATTTTTAAAATGTCCATTTTTGGTACTTGCAGATGGATAAGGTGTGTCTGGCTTGCCCTGCTAAACAGTTCTCCCTGGTTTCTCATTTTTGGCTTTTTAATTCTATTAGTGAAATTCTTCTTCAGTTTTCTTTTGCATGTACTCGATTAAAATGGTTATTTTTTAACTGATATGTAAAGTCTTTTCAATCCCTGAAATCAATTGGCAAGTTCAATAATACATTTATTTGTGACACTCATTTGGCTGACAAGTTGCCTGTAGAGAAATGTGGCGTTCTCAGTACAGTTGCTACTCCCACAAGAGCACTGGCCCATGTTCCTTTGGAGAGAATAACAGAAAAGGAATTGAAAACCAGATTATTCACAGGCTTTCTCCAGGACACTGCCCTTAGAAATAAATACCAGAATCTTCTTAAGGTGAAAGACATGGCAGCTTCTTTTCCTTTTATGGTCAAGACTGTAATCAAAATTAGGTATCTCTAAGAACATACAAAATCAGTTCATTCTTGGCTGACTGAAGTCCTGCTTACTGAAATGCAAGTACCTGCTGCCTGAGTTCATAAACCTTATGAACTACATTGCCTTAATAATCTTATACCTTAACATTTTAATACTTTACTATTTTTATCATCAGTATTTTAAAACTGCTGAAAAGAGGTGTTGATTTTGACAGCAGAGGCGTTTTCCCCCATGATTTTAGCTGTGTCTGTAGTTACTCTTGAATTGAATGAGCACTCACCTGCAGCTGCCTGGAGCCCAGCCCAGCAGAGGAAATCACTGTGTTTTCTGTTGGTGTTACAGATACCTTATTCCTCAGCCTCTCCTGGGAACTACGTGGTGAGTACCTTTGTGTGTGTTTATTGGGCGTCGCGTCTTGGTTAGGCAGAGAAACAGCTGCCCAGATGTTGAGGGAAGCCCCCTGTGCTGGCTGGGAGCTGAACATCTGGCCTGCACCAGAGGTTTCCCTGCCACCTCTGGTGAGGGTGTTCCTCCCCAGAATCAGCCTGCTCCAAACTGCCCCCAGTGCTGCTTCACTTCACAAAATATTTCTCTACCTAATACAGTGTATTGTCTGCAATAATGAAGGACAGAAAGCCCCTCAGCTTTCTCAGAAAAGAAATGTTGTGTGAGACTTTCTGAACTTCTGCAGGAAAAAAGTGTTTGTGTGTAGTGCTGGATTTTGTCTCTGTCACTAAACTGTGTTTATTATTTTAGACTGTTTATTGTTGTTGCTGTTGCACCCAGGTTATTTGTGTGGCTGAGGAGCTCTTCTAAGGCAGATTGTTTATTCTGTTTTTATCACGTGCACAGGGCTGGTGTCACAGGGTGACGAGGGAGGATTATATAATTGAAAGCAATTTATTTTGTCCTTTATTTGGACAATTAGCTGTGGAAAAGGTTGTAATTCTTGCAAGTGTCTGTAACTATAGGTCTCATTTTGCCACAGCTTAGTGGAAACAGCCAAGATTTGTTGTCTCCAAATCAGTTTTTTCAATGCAGAACTTCACAGAACTCTCTGTTTGAAGGAGGCTTTGTGGGTTTGCCATGTTCTCTTGTTGAAAAATTCAACATTATAAAAAATGAAATAAAATAAAATTCCAAATTTTGTGAATATTTGGCTTCATAGGGACCAAGCATTTAGGGATGAGGGATGGGCTGGAGAGCACCTAAAAAAACTTTTTGGTAAAAAGATTTGTAATCTGGAATTATTCACTTTGAGAACTTAATAAGATTAATCTATATATACTATATTAGTATACACTAATATATAAACTTATCTACTGACATATTATGTATTCTATCTGGTATATTCTATTCTATTCTATTCTATTCTATTCTATTCTATTCTATTATATTATATCATATTATATTATATTATATTATATTATATTTATAAATTTACAAATATATATTCTTTATTAATAAATAAAATTATATTCTCAGAGTGAAAATAGTTCATACCAAGAAACTCTAAGGGAAGAAAAAACACCAACAGTGAGAGTAAAAGCAAATTTAAAACGAGATGCAAAAGTTAATGCAGACAAGTAACTTTTCTCATAAATGATCACTTAGTTGTTCCTACATCTCTCATGTGATGTTGAAAAATATGCAGAGAGAGCCCTTAAGAAAAATCAAGTAAGGGAGCTTAAAACACAGATATAAGGATAAAAAGTCATGCCTAGGGAGTCATACGGGTATGAATAAAATTTAGATGTTAATTTGTGGATAGAAGTTTATAAGTAAAAAGCATATGGACAGATAACCTGTAAGCAGACAGCACAACCAGACCCTTGTACTCACTGCCACTGAAAAGATATCCCTGTCTACAACAGAATATCTGCTGTTTTAAGTTATAACTAAAGAGATAAAGTACAGTCAGAGTCATATGGCAATGAAAATAATAATTATTACTAGTATATGTTTTATTATGGGAAGTCAATATTCATTGGCTTTAATTGCTGTGGGCATTTTTACCAAAGTGGAACTTGGTGGTTTTTACCTGAAGGGGTTCAACAAACATAGGAAGCAAGATGTCATGTTTCTTTTCTTAGTAATTGATTAGGGTGATTAGAATAAAACTTCTGGAGAAATCCTAAAGAATCCTGAAATTCTTATTTAACTTCCATTTTTCTTAGTCTTGGTCAGATTTGTGACATGGAAATACCCAAAACTTTTAAAAAAAAAAAAAAATGTTCCCTGATGTGGGGTGGTTTTTTTGTGTGTCTGTTTTAGGTTTTTTCCAGCCTTTTAATTCATGCTAACTAACAATTTTTACTCTCCCCAGGGTCCTCCAGGAGGTGGAGGGCCACCAGGAACACCCATCATGCCTAGTCCTGCAGGTACTGAAATATACTTGGAATTAGCAAAATTATAAGGGATTTTAGGAGGTACACAAATAATTTTTTTTAGTAAAGAATCAGATAACTAAGCTACTTGGTCTATATTTTCTGTATCAGTTGTTTTTTTCCTGCTTGCTAACCTCTCCAGCAGAGGAGGATAGGGAAGTTTCCTGACTGGCCATAAAAACTTACTGCACCAGTATAATAACTTCACTGAATACAATTCCAGGGATTCAAATAAATAAAAATAAACATCAAAACAAAACCCTCAAAAAATGAACAAATGAAAAAAGGCAACCTGAGGTAAAGATAGTTTGAAGCTCTGTTTTCCAAAGCATGAAAACACATAGAAATTGGCCACTTGTGAGTTTTGCCAAGGTGTTTACTCACCTCTGAGACCAGCAACTTAAAGATTCCAGAGGCCAGCCATCCCCTGTGTGTTCTGACATGAGCCAGCAGAACTTGGGGACAGCCAGGGATGTGTGTTGCAAAAGCATCTGGTGAATAAAGAACCTTTTGCCTGCCTCATTGGATATTAAAAATAACTTTATAGGCCGATTTTTCTTTAGGCTGAAAGCTTTTCTGTTCCTCAGACAGCATCTTTGAATGTTCTACTGATAACGTAGTGCTCTGTATATAATGGAATTATTTGCTTGAATAAATGCTTAGAAAATCATCTTGGAAATATTAATCAGTAGACAAAACCCTTGATTTATCTTCCTGTTGTACACACAAGACCATTGGGTGTGGAATGGGCTTGTGGAGGGTCTGGGTACCGAGTACTGAATTCTTCTTACTCTTTGTGAAGATACTGATCTCCCAGAGTTGCCAATATATTCTTTTAAATCCCACTGTCCACTTAGGGATGTGTAGAGGCTTCTGTCAGGTCATTCTCCTTCCAGCTTTTGTCATTTTGGGGTTTTTTGCAAGCACTGCACCAAGCTGTACCATGAAGACACATCAGTTAAAGCCTCCTCAGGAGTGAAGGATCTTTACACAGTGATCTAACTGAAGACTTGGATATATTCAAAATCATATGGGCTTGACAAGGATGAGAGTAAAAACTGTAACTCCTAGGCCTGTGTAAGGAGAAGCTTTTTATCATTTATTACAGATGGAAAACAAATTACAGGAAGTATTGATAAGAAACAAGCTCCTGTTCTATGGATAATATCAAAGATGAGTGAATAAATTTAGAACTCCAGGAAACGGGGCTTTAGGAATTAAATAGTTACAGATTCTTGGTGATTTATAAGTCTTTTAACAGTCATGCATAAAACTAGAGCCCAGAAGTAGTCACTTGGGGACCATGGCAATTATTTCTTTTCATAGCCCTGTTGTGTGGCAGCAATGGGTAGAAAGGGAATAAAATCTGCCATTATATTGCCACTGTGTGTGGGATTGAGGCACAGTAATAATATGAAGAAAAAAGACAGGAAATGTGTGAGGTGAGTAATTTTATTGAAAAGTGTATTTTAGCACTTAGAATAATCTCTTATTACAGATTCAACCAACTCTGGAGACAACATGTACACTTTAATGAACGCTGTGCCACCTGGACCCAACAGACCTAATGTAAATATGAATCTACTTACACCTTTCTTTGAGTAGTGCAGCCTTTTGTTTATCCAAGCACCGTGTTTCCAGCAGCTGTCATTACTGCTAAGCTTTCCATTTTTATGGGTGGCTCTTCAGTTATGGGCCTCTGGGAAAAAAACTGCCAGTAGAACTTAAAAATAAATATATGTAGATATGCTAAGTCATTGTGTAGTAAATCACATATTGTTTGGCTTATAATGGTAATGTCATACAAACATATGAAGAGCTAAATTTAAGGTTAATTATGTGATTGGACAGAAACTGCTCAAGTTGTGAAGGTGATGAGGAGCTTTTTGACTTAGGATAGGTCAGGTATGGTTTGAAAGCTGTTAATTAATCACTGATGGATTTAAGAGAGTTATAAAAGTTCCCTATTACTTCAGTGGGGATAGGGCTGAGTTGCCAGCAGTGGTCTGAAAAGTTGTACAAAAAGCATTGAAGTAAATAATAAATTATTACTGTGTTGGATTCCAGCCTACGGAGATGGCAGTCTCCAAAACTCATTAAATTGACCAAAATTAAAAAAAAAAATCTGTTTTTCAGTCTTCACGAGAGACCTTCTCATAAAGGTCTGAGTGGGACTTGAGAGTCTCTTCTGATTCAGAGCTGAGGATTTGTTCTTAATTTGTTTCCCCTTCTCCTGAGGAGTATTTTCTCTTTATTAGGTTGTGTGAAAAACAATTGCTCAGTTTTTAATGCCTGCTCCTTTTGTAGTTTCCACTGGGGCCAGGCTCAGATGGACCCATGAGCGGACTGGGTGGAATGGACTCACATCATATGAATGGATCATTAGGTAAAAGTAACAGTAAATACTGCCAGTGTGGTGAATTTTCAGTGGCCATGCTATTTCCTGTGACTAATCCTTGGAGTTCTGTGGAAGACAGTTTGTTAAAATGTATGGAAAAAATTGTATATAGATCAGTAAGATGAAGGGAATGATTTGAAGAGGCTGTGGCAATGAAAAAGAAGAAGTCATTGAAGCTCAGTGAGCAGAGTTACTGTGAACAATGACAATTGTTCAGTGAACAATTCAGCATAGGCATCTGGCTCCTGAAGAGAATTACTTGTTTTTTTAGGAAAGCATGTCCCTGAAATTTTAGATTACGTTTTAAAGGGACACTTTTACAGCCTTTTTTTGCCTACTACAATGCTAAAATGGATAGTTGATTTAACTACTGAGGATGCAGATTGCATTCCAGTCAATGAAAGTCTGTGTGAGAGGCAGCCACACCTTTTTCTGTTGCTTTCTACAGCCTGAGAATTTTTCCTCCTTAGCTAAAACGAAAAATTAAATTGCAACAGTTTCAGGAGGATTTTACATGTACCTAGCACATAATTTATCCTTTTGGGCCATGACAAAATAACTCCTGCTAACATCTACATGTCGGATGTTTTTAGGGAGAGAAATCATATTCCTTCTTTAATTTGCCTGGCTGTATGAAATAGCTTTTTCAGTCTTCTCCCACAGCTCCATTTCTGATCGTTTGGCTGTGATACTCTTCTAGTTTATTACTCAATGCTCTTCCAGAATTTGTCTTTCCTGAAAATACTTGTCTTTTGCTGCTAAAAAAAATGCTTTCCTTCATTCATCACACTAAAATTGCATTTCCTTTATTCTCTCCTTTACCTGAGGTGAGAGCTACAGCATGTGAAAAAACCCTCAATTAGTTTTCAATAGTCTTGCACTCATTATATTTCATTTTATTCAGTTTCCATTACTCTGCTCATCAGGATGGTCTGTTTTGTTCTAAGAGATACTCAGTACATGTAGTGCAGCATAAGTTGATGGAGCCTCAGACTGATTGAGGGGATTATTCTGTACCAACTGTAAACTTTTTCTAAGTTGGTTATTTATTAAAGTGTTGATGTTGCACTATGTCTTTTCCTATGAAAAAAATTATTGGATTAGCTTCAACTCAAAACTAACTGAGCAGTTGTCTGTTTTAATTTCAGGCTCAGGAGACATGGACAGTATTTCCAAAGTGAGTATCTAATCAAATATTTGGAATTTTTAGAGTGTTTCACTCTATACTCATTTCCTTTGTATCTGTTACGAATCTTTTTGTTATGCACCTTTATTATATCATATCTGTATTATATATAATCATCTCCAGTTCATAATCTGATTGACCATGTTGTAGTGTTTGATACTCTTAAAATAAATGAAGCCAGTTCTAATAATCAATTCTAGTCAAATGTAAATTTGGGACAGTCTCCTTAGGGTGTTGCAGGATTGTGTTTGTCACATCTGTGAGGTAATGTTAATATCTTAATCCTTAGGATTAAATTCCAAAAACTAGATTAAGAAGTAGTTTCAGAAGGAGCACTGTTTTGATATCACAACCATAAAATAGCTGGAAAAGGATATGAGTTTAATCTGCAGGGATTTTGTATCTACAAAAATAATACTTGAATGCGTCACTTCTGTAAAAATAAAATTTCTGTGGATGTGATCATCATTAACTTAGAAATTAATGAGCTGACATGGTGTAGGCAAAGGGGCATAAATAGAGAGGACCCTGTGTTCTTAAGTTTCATAACATTTTCAGACTCTGCACGATGTAAAGTGATGGATGGAAAAGACCACGTTGCCTCAGTTGTGCTGGGCTGGGCTGTGCAGTGAGGGATTCAATAAAACCCTCCTGTGAGATGAACAGCATACAGCACATTTTTAATCAAAGTCTGTATCTTTTCTTCAGTATATTACTGCAAACTGCAGCATTTTTAAGGGAAAAAAGCCAAAACATTTTCATTCCCATGGTATAATTTTTAAAGCCAATATTCCACTTCCAGCTGTTCAGTATGTGCTGGTACAGGTATCAGCAGCTCTGAAAACTTGGGTCCTAAACAAAAATTTACCTTGAAGTCTCATAATATGTTAACCTGCATGAATAACTCATGGAAATCACATTTGATCTATGTTGTTTTTGAATAACTAGAAGAAAAATGCTGTTCATTTTGCCTATAAGATAGTTGTCCATAGAAAATGGATCTAGTCCTGGCTCACAGAATTCATACCTTTCTAGAGAAGATTTTGGCTAAATTGGCTGAATGGCAGAAAATAAAGTTTTCTATGAAGTTCAGCTGAGGGCAGTAAATGAACTGAAATTATGCATGTTAAATTAACATTAATAACCTGCATTTTTTTGCAATGCCCATGGAAATTATGCAAGCATCAGGGGCATTTTGCTTTGGAGAATTGCAGTGGCAGATATAGTGCTGGACCCCAAATAGCCACAAAAGCAGCCTGGGGGACTCACTAAAATGGAATTTTTTCAGGAATTTGGCCCTTTGGGACTGGTGTGCTGCAGCAATGTCAGGATGTCAAAGCTTAATTCTACACAGAGCAGCATAAAATAGGGGGAAATCCCCCAGGAGCGAGCAAAAGTGCATGATATAAAATAAATGTGACAAGGTCTTTACATTCCTGGGTGTTGAGGGCAGAGGGAGTGATGTGGTTGTGTGGCCTGACCTGTGTAGCACAGGGCTCCCCTCAATTAATGCCTGCTGAAGGGACAGCAGCAGTGGCAACAGGTTCAGCCCCTCTGAGCTCTGGGTCCCTGAATGCTTGGTGTACTCAGCCTTGATTAACTGATGCCAGTAACCTCGTTAGGCTTTTCCTTGTCTTTGGTGGACGTGTTGTCCAATGGCCCTGAGGATCACAGTTCTGGAAGTAGTGAATTAGACTGAGGAAAGCAGAAGGGCTAAGGCTAAAAGCAAAAGAGCTTTTGACCCAGCTCTCTGAGCTGCATTTCAGATGCTGGTGAAGAATTTCTGTTCACACGTCATGTATGTAATTAGTTTGGTATTTATATTTATATTTATATTTATATTTATATTTATATTTATATTTATATTTATATTTATATTTATATTTATATTTATATTTATATTTATATTTATATTTCATTCCATTTTTCTGGGTAAAAAAAAAAAAAAATAAAATAAAAGCTGAGGAAAGAACTGTGATAGATGTAAGGATTTCAAAATCAGGTCCATGGTTTCACTCCTCCCTTTCCCTGACTACTCTTCTTCCATCATGAGTATTCTGAGCAGATGTAGCAGTGATGGAAAGAGGATTGCCCATGGTCCAGGCAAAGCAGCTTTGTAAGAGCACCTGACTAATGAAAGTGTGTACAATAACCATGTGTGAGCTGTGGGTGCACAACAATTTCTATGGCAATTCCTTGTTTCACCCATTCTCCTTCTGAAGTTGCAGAGGCCACTGTGCACTTTGGTAAGGAAAAGAGTAACAATTAAATTTTGGAAGGCTTTAGGTTGTTAATATTTCAGTAGATTGTGGCCGTGATGAGCAGCCCGCAGGCACAGGCCTATGCAAAGGTCTGTGCAGACCTGATCCATCCTGCCTTTAAGTACATCTTTTGTCTAAGTACATACCCATAACTCATATATGTCAGGGCTCACAGATGTGACTGCATTCAACCACATGATTTAATGTGGTGACAGAACTTCCTCACAGCCCTGCTGCAGCCTTTCATAGCTTTCCTTCACTTCAGCAGAAGCAGATGCTGGCTATAGCCTGGAAATGAGGCACAGGTAAATAATCCTTGCTTCAGGGAAGAGAGAATTACTTAACAGACTAAAATTAGTGACTGAATCATGCAGAACCCTGCTGGGGCTGATTTTTCATCCTTGAGAGGCCCAGTGCACTGCACTGTGCACCTGAGTGCACCAAGTTGTGGAGCATGCCCTGGGCACACCTGGTGAGGCTGGGAAATGAACCAAAACCTTCAGCACTGAATCTCTATGTTGCAATCTTATTTAACAGAACTCTCCCAGTAATATGAGCATGAGCAACCAGCCTGGCACTCCCAGGGATGACAGTGAGATGGGTGGAAACTTCCTAAACCCTTTCCAGAGTGAGAGTGTAAGTATTTGATTACCTGGGTTGTTGGATGGCAAAGGTGAACCTGTATCTCTGGCCTTTTCTTTAGAATAAGAAAATGTACAAGTTTTGTAATGTGCTTGTAGTGCAGCACTGTATGTTTTTTTAATAGTTTCTGGAAGTACAGTATTGATTTGAATAAAAAATGCTGTGCAAAAGAGGGCTGAAACCGGAATAGGTGGGAGGCATAGATTTAGTGCAGAAGCTCTGGGCCACGGGGTCAATAAAAAGCAGGGTTTACACTGAAGTATGTGATGAGAGCACCAGTAGATTCCATGTTGCATGTTACAATAATGTAATAGTGTGCTGTTACATCCATAAAAGGCAGAGGTTCCCACTAGTGTTCATTCTGGGGCAAAATAAAATATACTTATTTTTTTTAAAATATGGAATGCTCGAAGCAGCAAAACATGTAAACATTTTACAGAGCAAGACTGTGGTATTGTCATAACGTGCCTGAAGCTGGGTTTCTAAATCCACATCTAGGTCGCTAAATAGGAGTGTAAGCTCATTACCTGTGCCACTGATGACCTATAGCTTCTGTTAGATAACAGCATAGCTGAAAATTGGAAATTTCCATTCCCATGGAAAATTCCCTGGGAATCATATTTTGAGGGGTTTTGGGAGCTTTTTTAGCTAGTGAAAAGGAAGAGTTTCTGCCAGTTAGCTGTTGGTGGGCACACATTCGGGTTGTGTGGAGTGTTGAAGAAAACTGTCATACACAGCCTAAAAAGAGCAATGTTTATTATCTGCCAAGATGGCAGCAAGCACAGAGCCTCCATGAAATGTGGTCCCTGTTCCTGGCAGCCCTTGGCTCCCAGTCTGGCACTCTGCTGGGCTGAGGGCAGGCAGGGTCACTGAAACAGGGCCGTGGGAGCAAGAGACACAGTGGTACTCTGGAGAAAATCAGTGCTCTCAGACACTCCCTGGGTTCTGGGTGCTGGTGTGCTGCCTGGGAGAGCCAGGCACTCAGATTTCTTTGTTGAGATGTGTGCCAGCAAGGCAGGAGTGACACATGCCAGGGGTGTCCCTGCCTGCTCCCAGGGACTGCTGTCTCTGTAACATGGGCTGCTCTCTCATCCTGAGGAACTGCTTTGCTTTCTGGTCCATGTTTTGCCACTTGGCTGCTCAGAATAGGTGTTATCATGGACTCCTTTCTCAGGGAGATTGGCTGTTCGGTTCACCAGGGATTTGGTTAGAGATAGATAGAAACGCAGGGCTTAATAACAAGTTAAAAATCCTAAACCCCTTGAGACCATGCTTTGGTTCTTTTCCCAAAGTGATTCCCCAGATACCTTGGCTCAGATGTGACTTGAGCAAGTGCTCTGCTTTAGGCCTCAGAGCTGGTAGTTGGACCTGTGTAATTTACCTGACAGGGACGACTCATCTAAAATACTCTTTCTAAATGCTTGGACACTTGGAAATGCCAGCTTGGAGCTTAAAACTTGGCAGGGTATTTAGGGCACATGTGACTTTGCACAAGCAAATTTATCTTTCCTTTTTCTTCTGTCAGTTTTCAAAATGCTGATCTTCTGGCATTTGAACGTTTTCCTCTACCTAGAGGATGTTAGACCAAATTAAGTGTTTTTTGCAGTCGACAGTTTTCAATTTAGAAGCAAATTATGTGTATAGGTGTGCATTTCTTGTAGGCACTGTGGTGTCCCATTGATTACTTTAATGAGCACTGCTCGCCTGAGGGCAGCTGTAGCTTGGGTGAGGGCTGCAGTTGAGTTTGTGTCACGCTGTGACATCACCAGTGTGATGTGGTGATTGGATTTTTGGTTCACACAAAGGAGAGTGACCAGTGGTCAATGATTCAGCTTGCCCCCTAAAGCTGCTAACACAAAATAATACAGACCTAATTTAATCAGAGTCATACATATCTTTGTTCCTTTCTTCCCGTAAAGTAATCAAAAACTCCCCAAAGTCTTGTGTGGTTCGGCTCCCCATGAATGCAGCCAGTCTGCTTCAGAGTAGGCACCTGCCCAGGTAGATTCCCCAGCAGCCAGCACTGGGCAGGAAGGGGTGTGGAAAGCCTCAGTGAGGTATTGGTTCATCACAGCACCCAGGTAACACCAAAACAGCCCTCAGGGGAGCTGCCTTTGTCAGCACTGGCTGAATTCTTGCATGAGAGAAGCACAGCAGAAGTTCTGGGGACACAAACTGAACTGCAGCCCCAACAGAGGCTGCAGCACAAATTCAGGAGGGAGCTCAAGCAGCTCTGAAGCCATTGCTGCAGTCCAGGTGTGGATGTAGTTGCCTGGGGATGGTGGGGAGGGGGGGAGAAATGTTTGTTAAAATGTGGATTCCTCTTTTCCAGTACTCCCCTAGCATGACAATGAGTGTGTGAGCTGTTCACAAGTGTCGCCGTGAAGACCACAGTGAGTTGGCCCTCTCCAGAGAGCTACTGCAGAAGAAAACTATTCGTCCCAGTGTACAGTTTAACTAAAGGATCTCAGACACAATCAGACCCACCTGTTTATTTTTATTTTTTTTTTTTCCTACCATCTGCCCCCGTTTTGTCAAGAAAGTGGGTCCCAAACATGCTTGAGACAACTGCAAGGAGTGGCATGAGAGAAGTGCCCGAGGTGGAGCTGCCAGCGCCTGTCTGTGTGTGTACATGTGTGGGTCGGCGTGGGGTGTGTGTGTGTGGCACACCAAACACACACACACACACAGACCCCAGGACTGTAAAATAGGATCACATGACATCTTACGTAGAAATCAGAAGTAGGGACTTCTATTCCATTTCTATTTTTTTTTTTTCTCACGTTTACATTTTAATTATTAAAATTTGCTTTCCCTCTCCCATCCTGAACTGTTTTATGTTGCATATATCACTGCTTTATAAGTTATTTTTTAAGTTGAACTCAAAAGATAAATTCTTTTGATTTTGTTAGTGTCTGCAATTATGGATAGGAATAAAATTGCTTATACGAGCTTTCATTACCTTGTGCTTGATACCAGCTACCCTGTGAATCACAAATTGTACTGTCTCAAGAAATAGAAGAAAGCTCATCTTAATTTTTTTGGAGAAATTTAATAACTTCCACCTAGTTTGGGGATTTTTTTTGATACTTTGCCTTTAAGAGAAAAAAAAAAGCACTGAAGGTTATTTTTCTTCTTTAATTGAAGCCTAATATCTGCAATATCTATTTTAAATGGAAGCCTGAATTTGATACAAGCTTCTCAGTTTATATAGAGTACTATAAGGTTACTGTAAGTGAGCTCCAATTGCTATAGAATCTAGCAATAAAGTGTCAGGGCTTCTCCTGCCCTTGGAATTGAGTTTTCTATTTAGCATGGTCTTCTGTAGGGGTGGTAGTTAGTGGAAATACAGTAGAGTCCTTATCACCAAAACATTTTCTAACAAATCACAATTATGTTTCCCATTTTCAGTGATTCTTAAACAAATATGAGCAATCTGTGTTCCTAATTATAAACAGAATTTCCCAAGCTCATTTAGAAAATCAGGTCACCCTGCTGCTTGGGTGTGTGTTTTCTGCCATATCTGCCAGCATTAATTCCCACAGAACTTTACAGTCAGCAGCCTTTTTTTTTTTTCTTTTTTCTTTCTTTTTTCTTTTTTCTTTTTTTTTTTTTTTTTGAGCCAAAATGCCACAGTAAACTTTTTATGACTACTAGCCTTGTTGTGAGGGTGTTATCTTTTGCCATGAACAGAAAAGGAACAAAGGTCTGGGCCCATTTATAAGGAGGTATAAGGAGGTATGAAAGCTGGGGACAGAATGCAGAAAAAGGCCTAAAGGAAACGCCTCTGGAACATTCCCATTTCTCTTCAGGCAGAGCTCTGAAACCAAGATTATGGTACAGTTACTTAGTTCCTGATGATTTTGAACTCCTCCCCCAAGAAAACAAAAGTTTTCAGTTTTTAGTGATAGAAAGGCTGATGATCAGCAACGCAGGCACAGTAGCTCAGCAGATGTTTGTGCCACAAACAGCAAATTCCTCTCCTTGAACTTAAATCCAGAAGAGCCACTTGCAGAGGAGGAGCAGTTCTGGGATATGGTACGTCCATATGCAAGTGGATTTTCTTTCATGAACTTGTGATAAAGGAACATACATGATGGGCTTGTGATGGTAGCTGAATGTAACAGGATGTGTAAGGAATACTACAATCTCCTAACTCATTTTTATTTCCATGTATTATATCTGTATAGTATATGGAAATAAAAGCATTTAACACTTTCCTGTTAGGGCTGTTCAAAGATGAAAGTCTCAGAGGATTAAAATTATGTTGAAGTATCAAAGATTTTGGTAGCATTACTTTTTAGTAAGAACTACATGATTAGATGTAAACATGACCTAGACAGTTATTATATGGTTTTGTAGACTGTATTCTTATTGATTATGAAGGTCACATTCATTTGCTTCTCTTTGGAAAACACTTTGTTGCTGTCTCCAAAGATGCTGGAAGACCCTGCTATTGGCTTGAGTCACAAACACAAAATCAGGTGTAATTTCCTCAGACCCTTTGCTGTTGTCACTAACACCACTGGTGTGTCCCCATCACACCCAGAGTGCAGGAGTCCTTGCAGCCTGTGTTTGCCACCTGTGTTATCTGTGGTAGCCTCCCAGGGACCCAAGAGCTCTGTCTGGCCCAGTTTCAGTCGGGTGATGTCACTGCTGATGGACTGAGGTAGATGGGAACATCAAGTGCCAAAGCCCATTCCCAGGTGAGCTGTTGGGCACCTGGGAAGGATGGAAGTCTGGCCATTAAACCTGTGTATGGAAGTGCTGACACAGACTGGGTATCATTATTGAAACATGTTATCCTCTCTTTTATACAGGAGCATAATGTCCCTTCAGCACATAATTTAGTCACCGTGCCCTGCTTTTCTCATACCCACGTAGCCCCACAGGCAGCAGCTGATGTCACTCATGCTTTGTCCAAGGCTTTACCCAGCCTCAGTCACGCTCCTGGAGAGGCCAGGTTCTGCAGCTGAACCACTAGAAAACAATCTTATGTGCTAATTACTCAACTTAAAAATTACACCTTTGGATTATTTTTTTCTTAATATGTATGGGGCTTTTTGCTTGTTGATTTGCCTTTCTTTTCCCTACAAATCCTTTTAGGATTTCCATGGTATCTGGAGTATCCATATGGGAAGAAACTGTTTCCAAGCACTCAGTTTTTGCTGCCACTTACATTTTTTATGCTCCAGATACCAGGAGCAATGTAACTGCTGTTTGGTTCTGCAGTTACACAACAGCAATGTTGATAATGGCAGAACTTGTCCAGCTCTGGTAGGAATTCTGTTTTCAGTGGTGCAGGGTAGATCTTCTCACGCTGGGTTTTTAGTTAGATCTTGCTCTTTAGTACAGAAATAAATGGAAGGTGAATTCTGTAAATGGGTCTTTCAGGCAAAGTTGAAGTAAGCCTTTTTAAAAGCAGAAGCGATTAAATCTTAGGGCAGCAGAAATGGAGAGTAAGGGATCTCTTACGCTGTGGGAACTCTTGCAAATATTCCAGCTTTGTAGAAATCAGCTGAAACTGGATTCACTTGTGAACTTCACAGTGGAACCAGGGTCTTACCTGCTGCTTAAACCTATGGAAGGGAGCGTGCAGATCCAGGAGTATCTCCACGTCACCCAGATGTCACTGCCATGTGTAAGAACAGGGCTTGAGGTGAGGAGGAAGCTGTCTGAATCGCAGGTAAAGCGTGGGGCCTGGCATGCATTAACAAAATACCTGGATATTTGCATGGAGGGATTAAATTCTTAGCTACCTGAGAATGAGGAATAACTGCAGTTGCACCTCCTACCCGCCCAAAATTCAGATTTTTATTTGGAAGCCCTCTGTTTGCAGAGCCCTGGCTGTCCAACATGTCACGTGTTCAGAGGCAGTAACAACTTCCAGGCTTTCAGCTCGTTCCTCATAATGTAGGATTAATGTTCCATGTCCTGGGACATCCAGCTGTTCCTTTCCCTTCCAACAGGAGTGCTCAGTGAGAAATTTATCGGCTAATCATTTATTTTAAATAATTCCACTTGGGAAGAAGTGAACAGAAGCTTGCTTCTTTAAGGATGCATCAAAGGACAGCTTCTTGGACCACCTAAAACCAACTGAATTTTCCTCTGTTCTGTGGCTAGCAAATGCAATACTGCATGTGCAAATGATTTGGAATCAAATTTAATGAGGGACCAGATGTTACAATATTTAGTGTCCATCACTTAATTCAAAATGACTTTTCAGCTGATACATATTGCACAGGTTTCTATTTCTGTATCAGTTAATTATTGTTTTCCCCTGTTCCTAGTCAGCTCTGATCCATTGTTGTTGTTGTTGTCGTGGCTAAGTATGGACTGGATTCTTCAGTATTTGACTCTACACATTTGCATTTCAAGAATGCAAAATATACCTTAATGATGTAAAAAGTACAGGTAAATTTATTTTTCTTTAATTTAGTATAAGTGGTGATGTAACTGTGGGTGCTGTCATAGACACACTTGGGTTTGCTCAGGCTTACTTAAGGATGGGAATCCTAACAGAGCACATCTTTCAAATAAATCCCTAAAACTATTTCAATACTGTTATCTCACACTGAGGATCCAGTTCAGGATTTAGTGATTCAAAACAACTGCAAAAGTTCAGAAATAAATTAGTTAGGTTTAAATTTTGCTGTATGCAGCTCTCTCTACTTTTCAGAAATTACTGGCACAGTTCTATAAATTGCTGCTCGTGCCCGTTCTGCGGAAACTTTGATGAAACCACTTCCATAAGGTCGTTTTTGGGTAGGACTTCACCCTAGTCTGGGTCAAATACATAACTTACCTGTGGTGTAACATTATTTGGCAGATGTCAAAACTGAGTACACAGAGCAAAATACAGAGGGTCTGTTGAAATTACCAAAACGATGTTTCAACCTGAAAAATGAGAAAAGAGAGTTTAAAATACTGCTTTGAGTGCTCTACATCCTGGAAACAAATTACAGTACCAAATCTAGAAAAAATAACTGGATCATCTACTCAGCACATGAAAATTCTGATCCTGCCAACCTTGATTTGAAACTCAGCCTGGACATAGTTAATTTTAAACAGATCTAAGAACACAGGTAGTATCCTTCAGGGAATTAAAAAAGTAGGACTGAAATAATCTAAACCCATGCTTGAACGTGGACAGTCTAGAGCTCAAATTAAGTCTTCCCAAAGCATACATTATTTTACAGATTTTACCAGTGCAGGAGCATGTTTATGTATCGACAGTACTGAGATGCAGAGCAGATTTGGCTTTCTTCTGTTTCTTACTTTATTAGAGCTTTGTTCACTATTACATGAACTATTTCTGTGAATTTGTTCTTCCATCTTGTTTTGAGTTGTGCAGCCATAGTTTTCCTCAACACAGCCCACAGCTTTGCAGTTTTAGTCCAAACTTCTGTTTGGTTGCTGTTCTTCATTTAAGCTTAAAATGTGTAAGAAAGCCTCTCATGTAATAGGACAACTTGCCATAAAAATGTATAAAGGTTTTCTTGGGTACATGTTTTCAAATTTAATAAATGCAGTTTTCAGTTATAATTTGAAATGGTCACTTTCTAGCCACTATTTCAGTTTTGTGTGCAAAAGAAATGGAGAGAGAGAAAAAAAAAACCACCTTTTTTTTTCTTTATTTTAATTCAGCATTGTAAATATTTGCTGAAAGACATGGTTTTGGGAGATGACATCAAAGAGATATTTGCTACCTAGTTGCTGTAAATCATACAGCTGGACTTCATGTTGAAAGCTCCTTCCACATCTCCAAAAGTGTACTGCTTGACATCTGATTTGTGTGACGTTGTACAAAGCCTAATTCACAAATAGCTGTTTACTTTGCCTGGTCAGTGTTTTCAGTGTGTCTCGTGGATGGTTCAAGGTTCTGTGGTCTCAGAAGAGTGACCAGGTGGTCGAGCAGGCTTGTTCCCAGGGTCAGGTGGCTCAGGACTGGGCAGTTATCCACCAGAAACAAGGTGTTCGTTCGCTACCTCGCTGTTCTCTTGAGAACTTGCACAACTCTTCTTGCCGTTAGGTTCTGGGGATCCTTTCAAGACTTTACAGTGCTGAGACAAGAGGCTGGATTTTGCTATGAGAAAATTCTGGCAGTTTTAGCATCAGTTTTCATAGGGAAACAGCACAAAACATGGGGATTTTGAAAGGTGGTGTGTTCTTGATGGCCTGGGATTAACTGGGAAACAGACTGTACAGTCTAGGAGTTTGGGCTATTACAGAGATACTGAAATCATCAGTAATTGCTTTTGGTGGGAAAAATTATTGTTGTGGAACAACTGCTCTGATCCCTGAGGAGTCAGATTGTCAACTGGATGAACTGGATATTTTAGGCTTTATTTGTGTTGTTTTAATCTTCATGTTTTACCCTCTCTCACTTGGACCTCCCCATTAAATGTACTATGCCAGATCTTCACACAAAAATAAGAGCATTTTGCCCAACAAATATGCAGGAAGTTGTTGACACCTGTAACTAGAGCTGTGCTGTAGAGAGTTTTATTTCATTAGAAATTGAGTATAACAGCAGATAAGGAATGGCACTGCAACATCCTGAGAGCTCTCACTGTTCGAGATCAGGGAAGTTAGCATCCTGCATACTCGCAAGCTAGACGAGATGGTTCCTAACAGTGATAGGAAATAGCTTGGAAGAAAAGCTGATTCTTGTCATGCATATTGGAGGAAAATTCCAAATACAGGATATATTTAATTGAGGTAGAAATTTACTAAAGCCCTCTGTAACAGAGGCACGGAGCACATCCAGTGGTTTAGTGGGAAAGCAAAGTGGTGTTACTAAATTGTTATCAATAAACATAACATCCAAAAGCAGGTGTAAGCTATTTTCATTTTCATTTTTCTAGTCTCTTTTATGTTTTCTGATTATGTTTTAGTTTTGATTTGATTTGCATTTGCATTAATGGATAAGGAAGAGAACACATTTCTTAAAGTAGGGCTGGAATGATTCAGGGCTGGAATTAGAGACATGGAAGTGTGGTGTGAGTAAAGCTGGAGTTTTCTGTTAAAAATCAAGTGAATTTTTATATTACTATTTTTCCAGGACAAAAAGCACCCATACAATAAACTTGGGCTCTGTCATGGCTGTTTGAGAAGTGTGAATCGAATTGCTGTGTGTGCTTGGACACCAGTTTTGAGGGATTTTTTTATTTTATTTTTTAAGTATCCCCTTGGAGTGCATCTATTTTGTGCATGTTTGGCTGAAACCACAAAAACAAACCATTTTTTTTTTTTTTTTTAATGCATTGCTGTACTTGCATCTGGTTCTGGTGGGAAGAGAAAGAAGATTTGTTAGCTGGTGGGTTAGCATATTTATGTGAATTAATTACAGCATTGGTAAACTACTGTCAACTCTGTTCACATTGCACAAGATACTCTGTGTTGTCTGCTGCTGGTGTTATAACTTTGGTGATCCATGCATATCCTGTAAATTCCTGTAGGTTTTGTGTAAGCAATCTTGCCACCACTGCTTGCTACTGTAAATTCTTGTTTTGAAGCAAGAGGTGGCATTTGACTGTACAGTCATGTGTGTTATACTGCAACAGTCCATGTTCTGTCCTCTGAACTCGCTGTCCACATAGAGTTGGAGCTCTGTTAAGCACGCTTAGTGGTTTCAGAATTTATTTCAAACAGCAGATCTATAAGCCATTTACAGGAATATTAAATGTAATGTAAGAGAATTCAACCCAGTTCATACCCTTTTCTGAGAGCTTGGGGTTGGATTTGAGCAGGCAGCTGCAGGTTTTGTGGCATCCCAGGTGCTTGTGCCTGCACACCTGAGGGGTGTCACACCTGTGCAGTGTCCCCTGGCAGAGGGGTGCCCCAGGCACAGCAGCTGGGCAGGCTGCTGCCTTACCCAGGTGTGTGAGCTGGTGTCTTTTTTACTCCCCACAAACTGCAGCAGTGCCAAGACAGAAGCCCGTCTCTAAGGGAGGCACGGCACTGCCTCTGCATTGTGTCCTCATCCCCACACACCGCAGGCTTTACCTGAGGTGGTGTTTTAAGGAGATTTGAACTCTCTGTCTGGTTACCTAGAGAGAAAAATAACCTGAATTCTGGGACTCTGCATTCTTTTTTACAGTATTTTATGATATACAAGACCTGAAAATGTCTGTGCGTTCTTTGCTGGTTTCTGACGTCAGAATTTCAAGTCCTGTCTAGTCTGAAAGGCAGTGATGGGAAAATGAAGAAACTTGGAAAGTTGAAGGGGATTCTTATTTGGATTATTTTAAATTCTGTGTTTCTATTGATAATTTAATAAAATGAGTAGGCTAATCTTTAGAATCAAGGCAGTCTTAATGACTTTGCACCTTTGCCCTTTCATGTAAGACTTTGAGAACTTGCAATAAGTGTTCCTCATGCTTACAGTCCAACTTGTAGATAAATTCCCTGTGTTTCTAAGATGAAAAAATATTTCTACAGTTACTTCAGCCCTTTACAGGGAACAACAGGGCAATCCCAGTCCCATAATCCCAAGTATTTGTAGGTGTATTTTAGACAAAGAATGACGAAACATCGTAAATGAAACTAATGTTTAATGTTCCAGTCTCTGGAAGTAAAGGAAACCTCAGTAATTTTGCAAACCAGCAAGAATGAAACTTGTCTATATAAATACTAATGTAGAAAGTGCATGCAAAACTTGATACTGCCTCTGACCTTAATTGTTACTATTGATACTATTGGGGATCTCACAAATGTGTGTTTCAGAACGCTGTATTTCTCCTCAGTGTGTGCTTCATCCTCATTACCGACAGCTCCTGCAGAGAGCCGGCCCATGCCATAGCCAAGGCGTGGGGATGCAGAACTCCCACAGCACCATGGATACGTGGACATGTGTGCGTGTTGTGTTAGGATGAGTAACCACTGCGGCTGCAAAGCCCTCCAGACCTTGTGTGTAACTCTCCAGGGCAGCCTCTGGGATGTCTGGGAGGGCTGCAGCCCCGGAGCTGCCTCACTCTCATCCCAGGTGGCTCTGGGTCTTGCTTTGGGGGATCGTCATGAACTCCAGCCTCACTGTTTGAAGTGTGATGAGCTCCTTGCCAGCCTGTGAGCTGCCAAGGCACGGATGGTGTGGGTCACTGACCCAGCCCTGGGAGCCTCAGACACGGCTGACAGACTGCACTGTCGTGGTGATACTGTGCCGCCACATCAGACTTGTTTCCGCTCCATGCTGCGGCCTCATTCATCCTGCCCTAATTTCAGCTGGCTGAAAATTACCAGCCTGGGTCTCGTGTGTGAATCAGAGGAGGGACACGAGTGGAGTTGCCTCTGGAAGATTGCATTATGGCATTATTTGCCCTCACCAGTGATGAGCGGCTGGAATTAGGTGGGATGAATCCAAGTGTGCACAATTGGCTTCTCACACCTCTGTGCAGAAGTGTATTTATTTGAGCTTGGAATGGGCGAAAATAATGCAGCTCCTTTGAACCTGAATCCAGGTGACTTACAGATGACTTTCTGAACTCAATCTCAACCATGAGATTTATGCCCTGTAATGCTATTTTCTTTATTTTTGCTTCAGTTTTAATGAGCAGCTGTAGCTTGAACTTGCAACTTGTTGGAACATTTCTGGAGGGATTGCCCCTGCATAGGAATCCTCACCTTTATTAGTTTCGTGGGCTTCCTTGTTACTTGCACTGATTTTCATTGGAAGCAACACAGGGAGAAACCATTGCATAGATCAGTCAACACCAGCAATAGCACATGCAGCTTTTAAATCCAGCTGTGAGCCTGTAACTCAAATAAATTAATTAAGGTATTAATGTTCATACTGCCCAGGTGTGGCTAAAGATTCCTTTCCTGAGAGCTTTAAGGAATAAATCTAGGAGGTCCTGGTTGAGGATTGTGAGAATACATGTAGTAATGGCAGTTTATGATAGTTTTTTTTTGGGAGAAACTTGTGATAAACATGTTGGGATTTGATGTGCTGGTTTGGAGATGAGGGACTATCTCATGCCAGATAGATCAGATTTGCAGGCAGCGTTCCTGTGGGTTAGCAGAGCCTGCTTCCAGCGGCTTCCTCCTCTAGTTCCCCTTGATGCCTTCCTCCATTCCCTGCTGGTACGAAATCCTGACAGCAGTTGTGCCGGTTGTTGTGGTGAGCTGAGGAGCAGCTCAAGGTTGAAACTCGGATGTTGTAGCTGCACCTTTCACCTTCATCAAGCGTCCACGTTCTCAGAGCTGGGCTGGGACAGCAGTGGCCTCCACAGTTGCCCTGTAATTTCATCACACAGAAGTGGGTGCCACTTTCCAGGAGTTTAACAGGAGCAGTATTGATCCATTCACTTTATTTCCTAAGTTGTGAGTCATTCATTGTTGGAAATTATACAGATCTTGTGTAGCTATGAATAGAAAAATAGAGATTTGTTTCTTATGATGAGCTGGTACAATTCCTGCTCTGCTGTTCAATATTTTTGAGTGCTGAAGTTAACCAAAATGCTACCTTCATGGATTATCTCAGCCTCAGCTCTGCATGAAGATGGGTATGCATTTTCCAGTTGCTGTTCCTGGTTTCTCTGTGAATTCTGAGCCAAAGGTAAAGCAGTGGGAAAGATTGTTGTGGCAGCCACTCACTGATGGCTTTTCAGATGCATAAAGCCATGCTGTCTGTCATCTGACAGAGTTCCAGTTTTCTCACTGGGTCACCATGTTGTTGTCAGCCAGTGGAGGAAAGGTGGATGAGCTCACCACCCAGAAAGAGAAGAAATGTAGCAAGTAATGAGCTCTGTTCTCCAGCATCCCTTTGTTTGTAGAGCTTCACTTTCAATTAACATTTGTACCTTCAGTTATTATTGTACCATTCACTATCTTGAGGTGGTATGAGCAGAAATTTATGAATATATATAATTTACCAGAAATATAGGCTTGTATTGTGCCTTTGTAATTCTCTTCAGCTTCAGTATATATACGCTACGAGCAGACGAACTTCCTCCCTCTTTTGGGGTGTTCTTTACTACAACAGTAGCTGATGGCTTCATTAATATTGGCTCTTTTAGTCTTCTGGGGCTAACATTTCTGTTTTTCTGAGTGAAAACGCCATAGTGCCCTCGGCAGACATAAGCACAATGACATAACGCTGCAGTGCATGCTGTCTCTTAGCTTCTCTCTACACGTGTTTGCATGTTGGAAAATCTGAAGAGCTGCTGTGTAAATTGCTACGTTACTTACCCAATACAGGTGGTTTTCCGCATCCCTTCTTTGCTCAAAACTCCCATTAACTTAGATGTTAGCCGTGGCTCAAGCCGGGGGGTTTTGGAAGCAAGAAGGATGCAGGGAGCAACTCTTCAGTAGTTTACAGGCTGCTATAAATGTCCTTTCAGCAACGAAATGTAGCATTTTAGCAGTAACTTCCTAGTGAAAACACTGAGCGTGCTTATCACTTAAGATTTTAAGAAAAAAAGTGTCAGACTGTGTAATTGTATCATATAATTTTGACACTTAACCAGTTTTATCTACGTGTTCATGCTATACCAACCAACACAGACCTGAAAGGTGACAGCCATGTTTTTGTTACACAAGAAGTCACAGTTTTCCAGAGGTCCTGTTTTGATTTTTTGTTTCTTTACCACATTTTCACTGCAGAGGTATTTTTCTATATAGTTATCTGAGGCTTCCTTTCACCAACCAAAAGTCTGTAGCCCTCTGCACTGTGAAAGGCAAAGCCCTGTGGAGAGACACGGGCTTCGCACTTGCCCAGCAAATTAGCAGAAATTTCACCCAAGCCATAAAAGCCTCTTATGTTAATCTCTGTTTATGTAATTAAAGCAATTAGGGATAGGAGCTTCAGGAATAATGAGGTCTCTCTATCCTCCATTTACTCTCTCTGTGCTTCATAGGGATTTAAGGGTTCTTTTTTCAAGGCTCAGCTGTGTCTCTTCAAACCAGTGCAGTCTAAGCATCGTGTGAGATGCAGTTTATGGAGATAGCATTGGAGCGTGAAAGATTTACTTCTGGTAGCAAGGAAAAACACATGTCCCTGTGGACATGGACACTTGCAAACAAGTCTGATACCGAGAATTAAAAACAAATGCGTTCAAGATGGTACCAGTACATCAGACTCTGTTCTACAGTGGGGTTTTTAGCTTTTGTCATTTGTATTTTATTTTGTGAAAAAAAGGAGTTGGGGGGATCTCAGATCACATGGGGAATATTAGAAGTATATCACTCAACAATCATTTTATAAAGTCTAACTTCAAAATGCACTATGATTTATTACAAAAGTATATTTTCTTCTGTTTGCCGACATGGTGGTTCCATTTTGTGATAAGTTAAACTCAGCAGTTAATTTGTTGCACTGCCTGGCTGCATGAATTCATCCAGTGTACATACGTACCTGTGCAGCATTACTTTTGGGGTTTGTATTTGAATTTGCAGTATTGATTGATTATTATTTTTGTATTTTACTTTGCCTCTGTTATTGGAATTGTAGTAAACATAATTTATACATATGATTTTACAACTGTTTTGCAACTGAAAAGTCTCCTTTAAATTGTAAAGTTTTATTGATGGATACTCATTAAAATGGTATAAGAATTATATTAACAATTGTTTTGTGTTTTGATGCTCTCTGTACATAAATATATGTCTATTTATCTGTTTAATGGTGCTTGTGTCTTGCAATTTTGGATACATTTTAGAATAAAGTTTCATTTTACAAGAAGTAGTTGTATTTTCACAAGCTGTGTCCCAAAGAAACCCCACAACCAAACACCTTTTTTCCATAAATAACTAGGGTTATGAAAGAAGCATACATAACACATTGATAACTTCAGGCAGTAATACATTTGTTTGTAGAACATAAAAGTATGCTGCCTACAGAAATGCACAGCTCTATACTGCAGCTGATTTACTGCAGGAGCTGACATCTGTATTTAAAACGTTCCCAAAATGATGCATTTTGGAACTCTTCTTGCTAGCTCTAATGGCTTTATTTCACAGAAGATTTATTCATATCTGTTACTGTTGGACACAAAATGATTCACACGGACGCAGCTCGAGGTGTGGTGAAAGAAGAATTTTTGTTAATTTGTTCTTTCAGTATTTATAGGTTTCTGACCATGACCAGGAATTGGATAGTCAGGTTAACACCTTCCCAACCACACTGGCTGTGAGAGACATCCATCAAAAGGCAAATCTTTAATGGAATGTATAAACACCTATGTTTAGAGTTACTTTCCTGGGAAAGTGGCTAGAACTTGTGAAAAACAATACCGAAAGGCCTGATTCTCAGGGGGACGCATATCTAAGACTGAGCTTGTTGTTTATTAAGTGGAAAAGATGCACAAAGGCACTTCCACAAAGGCTGCCTTAGATCCTGCTAAGGTGGTGCCACAGTGCTGCTGTAGCTGTGCCACACAAAGTACTTTTCCACTGGGAAAGCACTGGAAAGCACAGGTGTCCTCTCTGAACTGGGACCAGCAGCTTGATTTCTCTTTTTCAGCAGTGAAAGCAGAACAGTACCACCTTGGCAGGTATTACCTGTAAAACACTGCTTTGGTCCAGTGGAGATAGAGTGAGAAACTACAGGAGTCAGCTTCAGGGGTTCCTTTGCAGTCCATTATGCTCCTTTAGCTTCTGTCTCCTGTAGCTGGAGGGCAGAGGAAATGCAGCTTGTGAAAGCAAAGAGTCATTTGGGAAAGCTCATTCTGGAGTGTGAGTTCCCTGGGCACTGCTTCTGTGTATCCCTGTTCCCCAAAGGACACCCCTGAGTGACATCCTTCCCCGAAGGCCAGGAGCTACCTGCAGATCAGAGGTGTGATTTTGAAACCACAACTTTCCCTTGCTCCAGGTGCTTCTCTTTGCCCTGACCCCAAGCACGTGCTCCCCCCCAACACTGCAGGTTTTTCAGGTGAGCAGATTTTGATTTTACTTGGCCCCCCAGCAAAGTAAATTTGCCCTCTGTAAATTTGATCCCAGCAGCTTTATAGCTCCTCATCTCGCAGCAAACAAGAGATCTATAACAGGCCAGGCACACGATCACCAGGACTGTGTTTAACAGTACCTGTGGAACAGCAAACAGCATTATCTTACAGAATGCCTGAGTGTGACATGGTAAACTTGAAAACAAATTTACAAATTGTTGGCCTAGGCAGGCAAAATGTAAGTTAGGGGTTTTTTTAATAGGGAAATGTTCGGTTCTGTTTACAGACTTCTTCTAACTTCTAGGATCCACAGTGTGAGAAACTGATCATCTGCGTTTTTGTCATCTGGACTGAGCAGGTGAGGAAGGAGAAAACACTGGGTGCAAACCTTTTAAAGACACTCTTCAGGAAGCAAGGCCGAGGTGTCTCACTGCTGTGACAGTCTGGTTTTTCCCCTTACAGAAGGGGAAGAGAGAGAAGGAGAAGGAGATAGATACCAGAGAAGGAGAGAGATACCAGTAATACTTTTTTTTTTTTTTCTGAAGCAACAGAATGAAACTACATGTAGGGAATAGAACAACATGCTGGTTTTCAGAGCCAGACTCTTCTGAAATGTAACAAGTGAGATGGTACAGCCATGGTGTTGCTTGATAAAAAGAGTATGTGCACAGAAACAGAGATAGTGCTATAGCAGTGACAGGAACAGACCGTGTGGGAAGAGAACCCCTCCTGCACTGAGAAATTCTGTCTTGGTTAAAATTCAAATTTTCCTGGCTGTTGTAGGCTAAAGCTGGATCTTTAACAATGTTTAAATGAACAAGTGTTCACGATATAAGCTCATGGATATATGTTTCTGAGAAACATGGGAAGCCCTCTCTGGAACAGTAACTACCAAGAGGAAAGGTTGTAAGGAAGGGATACAGAAAACAGACTTGCTGCTGCATTGAAAGCACACAGCACAACAGCACAGCAGTCAAATACAAGCCTTGCATTCTTTCCTGAAAACCATTTACAGTTTATACTCTCTGCTACATTGCAGTAACACATCTGCCTCACCAACAGCTGACAAGCCCAGGCACTGAGCATCCCCAAACTGGCTGAGCCTTCAGTAGCAATAGCACTGTATCCGTGGCAATAGTAAAACTTTGACCCTCCTGTCAGCTCAGAAGCGATTGCTCTACTCTTCCTCAGCAGTGCTTGTACTTTCACAGCGTGCAAGAGCAGCAATATCCTTACCAGCCACTTGAGGAGAAGGTAAGAGGAGTTATTTGTGAGCTCTCGAGCTGTTGACTGCTGTGAGACTGTGTGATCAGGGCCGTGGCCACAGAGGTGGGAATCAAAACATCCATGCTGGAAGTGCCAGTGGTTCCAATGCCTCTGGAATGGGAACGTGTCTGCCCTGGACACATCTGCTGGGCTGTCAAGTTGGTGACAACATGAGAGGGCAAGGCTCCAACACAGACATAAAAATGAAAATATGAGTCAGATTTGAGACATTTCAGTGACAATGGACACACCAAGCCCAGCAGCGGCTGGTGCCAGGCCATGAGGTGACGTTGGGAATGCTGGAGTGGCGGTAACATCTATTCCGTGGTGCCCTGTACACAACCAGCACCCCCTTCATTGGAGCTGCTCAGTCTGGAGAGGTGAAGGCTGCAGAGAGACCTCAGAGCACCCTCCAGTACCTCAAGGGTCTAAAGAGAGCTGGAGAGAGACTTTGTACCAGAGTATGAGGTGGCAGAGCAGGGGGGAATGGCTGCAGGCTGAGGTGAAGGTGGGATTTTGGGCAGGAATTGTTCCCTGGCAGGGTGGGCAGGCCCTGGCACAGGGTGCCCAGAGCAGCTGGGGCTGCCCCTGGATCCCTGGCAGTGCCCAAGGCCAGGCTGGACATTGGGGCTGGGAGCTCCTGGGACACTGGGAGCTGGCCCTGCCGGGGCTGGGGTGGGAATGGGGGGGCTTTGGGGTCCCTTCCAACCCAAACCACTCCTTGATTCCCCTCAGAATGGCACACCATCCCCTCATCCCCAGCACTCCTAACTGGCATCCCTTCCCCCTCACCCCTGCTATCTTCTATCCCCTCAGCCTCAGACACTCCTTTCCCCTCATCTCAGGCAGCCTCTTTCCCTCAGCACCTCACCCCGAACTCCGCATCCTCACACCCCCCTTTCTCCTCGTCCCGGACCCTCCTTTACCCTCAGTCCTGTCCTGTTCTTTCGCCCATCCCAGGTACCCCTCAGCCCGGGCTCCCTTTCCCCTCAGCCCGTCCCGCCCCCGCGGGAGGCCGGCGGAGGCGATTCCGCCCCGGGCCCGGCGCCGGGCGGGCCGGTCCCGCCCATGGCTGAGGCGGAGGCGGCGGCGGGCGCTGGCCGCGGTGCCGGGCCGAGCGGGGCAGCGTTCCCCCATGGCTGTGTGCATGTGCCAGGCCGTGCTGCCGGCCCACGCCGGGCCCCGCGGCGAGCTGGGCGCGGGGCCGCTGCTGCGATGGATGGACGCCGCCGCCTGCCTCGCAGGTACCGCAGCGGGAGGGGACAGCCCCCGCCCTGGGGCGCGGGAGGCTTGAGGGAAAGTTTCATCCCCAGGAACGGGGAGAGGGCTCTGCGGGTTGCGCCGGGTCACAGGGTGGGGCAGGGAGGAAGGGCCACAGTGGTCATCCTGTGCCGCCTCGGGGTCATCCCAGAGCACGGCACACGGGATCCCTGCGGACGCTGCTGGGACGGGCCCGGTGAGCTCCACTGCACACCCTCTCTGGGCAGTGTGTTCCAGTGCTCACTGAAGTTCTTCATCACAGAATCACACAATATCCTGAGCTGAGAGGGACCCACAGGGATCGCCCAGTCCCACCCCAACAATCCCCCCCGTCCAAGCACTCCTGGAGCTCTGTCAGCCTGGGGAGCCTGCTGAGTGCCCCACGACCCTCTGAGGGAAGAGCGATCTCCAGCCTGAACTTCCCCTGACACAGCTCCGTGTTCAGGTGGAACTTCCTGGGCATTGCTTTCTGCCCCTTGCCTCATGTCGCATTGCTGGGCACCACCAAGCCTGATCCGTGCTGTGCCACCCTTTTTGGACATTTATACACGTGGATGAGGTCTCCTCTCACTCACCTCTTCCCGAGGCTGAGCAGACCCAGCTCCCTCAGCCTTCCCTAGCGAGGAGGATGCTCCAGTCCCCCCAGTCATTCTGGCAGCCTTCACTGGACCCGCTCCAAGAGCTCCACATCTCTCGAGGAGCCCAGGAGATCTGGGGTCCAGTTAGGAACAGACACCACGAGGATGAGGCGTCAGATGGCACGGCAGAGCGAGGAAGGGAATGTGAGGATGAGGAGAGTTTTAAAAAGGAGCAGCAGAAGGGAAAAAAAGAGGTGAGAAAAGGTAAGTAAGAGAAGGAAGGAAAGTACTAATTTAAGATTATTGGGACATGTGTGCCAAAAAGAAGGAAAGGTGCCACTGCCGTGGCAGTGGATTGGACTAAATGGTCTCGGGAGGACCCTTCCAGCCCTAACTATTCTGTGAAACAACCACAAATCCAATCAGCGTGCAGGGCACTCCATGTCTGACTATCTCGGCTCTGAAAGCTCCTAAAGCCGCCTCGGTAACTTGTAGAAGTGAGGTGTGTGTGCCTATTGTGAGCTGCAGGGGAAGCGCTGGCAGCGAGCTGCCTTCCCCCCCCTGCCTGCCCTGCGTAACCCGGGACTGCCTGGCCTGGGGCAGCTGCTCCAAACAAACCTGCCTCTCCTTTCAGCTTTGTGGAGGGGTGATTCCAGCCCTGCAGTGTGTTTACCCTCAGCAGTGCTTCTTGA